GCAGATGCGTTATCAGCCGTGAGGACTAAGACAGAATGCCTCTTTTCCAGTAAAAGCGTATACGGTTCTCTAGACTTACCATACGAAACACAGCAGCATTAAGTTGCTATTTTAAGCTGGTATTCTGTGTGTGATCCTTCCCCGGTCGGCCGATTCGTTCATGCTACAACCACACTATTAATATTTATTTTACGTGGTAGAGCCATGCTGCAGCTATATTAATAGTATAGTTGTAGTACGAATGGTTCGGCTCGATCGGGGAAGGACCACGCTCTCACAGAAAACCAGCGTAAAATAGCAGCTTAACGCTGCTGTGTATCGTATGGTGAGTGTAGAGAACCGGAGACCCTTTTTACTGGCAAAGAGGCATTCCATCTTAGTCCTCACGGGTGACAACGCATCTGCATCTTGAGTCTTTATCGAGGATAGATGTAGATGTCTATGGGTCACAGCAACCACTTACAATCAGGTGGACTGTGTGCTCGTTTGTCACCCTATCTTATAAAAAATAACTTTACAGTGACACTAGGAAGGATACAATAGTACGTTTCTATGTTATTAGGCTTTGAAAGACTAAATCGTTTTTGAATTTGTCGAGCGATAACTTCTAGCGCTAATAATGTAGTCAGGCGCTGCTGCAAGGACGTTCATTGTCCGCTTCATTTTCTTAGATGTGTGTGTACGGTGAACCTAAATATCCTCTTCACTTCGGTTTTCATCATATTAAATATTTGCAATAACAATCGAATTTTTATCAAAAGGTATAATATTCAGTCGAATATATCGAGTCCTCTCAATTATGTACTAGAAACATATATTTTTTCGTCGTTAATTGCTTTAAAATTACGCAAGTTTATTTTTCAGATGTGGATATTTCTTTCTGTTATATTACCGATCAAAAACACATGGACGCGATATATATATATATATATATATATATATATATATATATATATATATTGCATTCAACTAGCTTATTTAGTATTTTAGTAAACAGCCTAGGCTTTTCACTGAACGGCGCCGTACCGTTGAATGAAATTAATAAGGTGACCATGCCACGTAAAGTCACTAGTCTATGCCTAATTGTGCACTATGCTCTTTATTGTATAAATGTATGTGGCTTTAAGGTGGCCCAAGGGCCACCCCAGCCACACCATAACCTTCTATTGCTGATATTACAAGATATTATGTGCAATGATGTATTAGACGTATCGGCTTAATATCATTCAGGCCCCTAGTTGAACGGCGCGGGTAAAAAGGTTAGGCTGTTAACTAAAAGGTTAATTAAGCTAATTGGCTGCGACATATATATTATAATAGATTGTGCTTTGTATAACTAAATAGATTTAAAAAAAATTAGATAGTAATTTTTGAATTTTTAAATTTAAGAATTTATTAATTTAAAATAATCTTATTGCTGCTTTTGACAGGTTCTGAATATCTGCACTTTTTTAATTTATAATTCTAAACGTCTTGCTTTCGATTCGATGATTGTCGACTTGTTGATCTGAACAACATTACATTGATTATCTACATGTAGAGCAATTTAAGTTATTACCTTTGTAAACCTTGTGGTGTACAAGCTGATTGTGTTTTGGTATATAAGCAAAGTGCTGTTGATTGGTAATTAGACTATAAAGACATCGTTATACTATCATAATCACAAACTAATATTGCACCAAAGTCGATTATGGTAATTAACACTTTAAAATCTGAGCACAAACGTTTAAATAAAGTAAGGGCTGGTACATCACCAGTTTTTTTTTTTGGTATGGGGCAAATATTAGTCAGTTAATTTGTTCCAGTGTATTTTGAAGTACTTCATATTATATATTTTTGACAATATTCGCAATTCCAGCACATAGTTTTGTTGCCGACGAATAGTGAGTACCTAAACCATTTTCGTCGCATATTTTTTACTTTTTTACTTAAATTGTTAGTTTTTTTTTGTGGCTACATATTTCCATTTTTCATGTAAATCGTTTTATTTTATTACTTTGTTAGATTCTGTTTTGCACGTTTTCATCCTTGTGACCTATGTTTCTTTTGTACTTTTTTTTATGTGCCGTCAAATAAATAAAAAATGAATGAATGCTTAAAATAATTTTTATCTATCTCAGGAAACAGTTACTAGTGGATGTGTTTACGTACATAATTCCATTTTAGGCCTAAAAGGCTTGACAGATTTTATCGGCGTCGTCGGATTCATTTCCATTTCTAGAGTGATAAATTCTAAATTAATGTCAATACGACGCTCGCAATAAGCAATACAGCGTTTGCTTTAATCACATTCTGACGAACGCGGGATTTAACTCAATTACTCAGAGATCACCGCAGAAGGCTCATTTGTTTATTTTTATAAATATTTGTTTATTACCTGCACGCAGTTTTGCTCGAGATATTCACTACCGAGTTAATCAGAATATAAATAGCAATTAGCAATTTAATTGGTGTTACCATCAGGGATCGAAATTAAATTTGAGACAAGCGCGATATACCTAAGTTAGGTACAACGGCTTAAAAATAATCTAAAATAGTTTATATTGTATAGTGTCCAGCCATCGATACAGAACTAGTGGGATTGCGGTTGACGGCAGGTGTGTATAGGTCATCGACATTCATGTATCATATATACGGTTTAGTGGCCATTTGAAAATAAATCTTAGTTCATCAGGATTAGAGTGCTTATTTTCTTCGAAAATTAATTAGCTCCAGTTGTGATTCTTCTTGAAGATTGTGTTTTGTTAAGATCAAATTAATGTTACTGATTTTGCTCATTGATTTTGATCGAGATTCAATTTAAATTAGGCTGTTATCAGTGATGACACAAATGCAATTTTTTTATTCTTCTCATTTGTACAGGTAAAGTTTTTAAAAAATATATTTTACAACAGTTCTCTGATCAATGCTTGTTTAAAAATATAACGTTTACTTATATTTACGCGAACACTACACATTGAATAAAACTACTTTTACGGATTCTAACCCGTTTAATTAACTTATTTTTATTAATTCCCGACCATGGCTATACTACCATATGTCAGAGGTGTCACAGACAAGATTGGCTACATTTTGAAGCGAGCTTCTATTAGAACATTCTTCAAGCCGACGCAGAAGATTAGTCAGTTCTTACCATCCGTCAAGCGCAATATTCCCCTACAAGATGCAGGAGTGTACAAGCTTGATTGTGAATGTGGTCTCTCATATATAGGGCAAACAAAACGATCAATAAAAACCCGCGTAAAAGAACACATAGCTGACGTGAAGCACCAACGTTCCGGGAAATCTGCAGTTTGTGATCATATCCTAGACGTCCCCCGCCATTACATTAGATTTGATAAACCACAAATTCTCGCGAAAGAACATCGATTCCTGCCAAGGATGTTTCGTGAGGCTATTGAAATTAAAAAACATCCTAATTTCAATAGATCAATAGAGAGGGAGGCTGGGTACTACCACCTGCTTGAGATCCTGTAATTAATAAAATTAAAACTAAACTGAAGCATACCACTGCAAGACTTCAAGACACAGTTAGTTCGTTCTGCGTAGATCGGACCAAAATTAATGATTAAAAAAGCTGAAGGTTCTCCGGGTTAACTCTGACATCTGGACGTCAATCACCACAGTCCCCCGTGACCATGGGTGCTGTAAAGCACCCGAAACGTCGGGAATTATTAAAAATAAGTTAATTAAACGCGATAGAATCCGTAATAGTAGTTTTATTCAAAATATAATGTTATTTGTGAACTTTACAAGTGTATAAAAGTTAATTTATTTCATTAAATATTTAAATAATATATATATATATTTTGTGTAAACTAATTACATTTTCTTTTTTAATTACGTTTCTAGTATTATTTAATATTGCTTTTAACCCACTAAAAATAATTTTATATCATTTGACTTTTTTGTCATGTTCGCAAAATTGAATAAATACAGATCCCCATTTCTAGACTATTTTTCTCATAATGTTGCTACTTATTATCAAAAAAATTTATTTATTATTAATGTTGATAATATAATATTTTTTTTAAACTAGTTACATTCAACAAAAAAAATTCGTTGGAAATAATTGATATGCGACCATAAATAGATTTAAATATTATCTACATTGTTATCCAATATTTATTAATCGAGCATACGAGTAAATAAATTGCGTATCATTTATAGATTCGACTTTAAAAGCCTCTATGACGCAGCAGATGTTAGGTAAGACCGATAAAAAGCAGGTAGCGTAAAAAACGAAATCAGGTGCGCAGGCGCACCTCGCGAGCCTCCGAGCCGCTTTGACGGGCGGCGCGCGAATGCAGGTGCCGCCTTTGGAGGGGAGCACCTTACTCTACACCTTACAATTTTAAATCTGCAATTGAAACGATCTTTGATGCGTAGTAGCAAGATTGTTAATCGAATGCGGCCCGAAGAAAACAGGTTGTAGGGCTTACTCCTCTCCTTTTTATCGAACAAAAAATGAACTGTAAACGCGATCACGGCCGTGGCTAAGGTCAATGTTAGCGCTTCCTTCAGTGCACGTTCAGAGAAGAGCGCGCGCGCATCCTTCGTTCGCGCTGTGACGTACCCGCCTTCAGCGGTGTGCTGAATGAACACTATCGGACGGGTTGAATGAACTTAATCAAAAAATATTTATCCGAAGTCGGAAATCTCGAGTATTCTGAACCCATTATTGCGACACAAATGAGTGAATTTTTCGTTTTTTTTTTAAAGCAGACTTAGTGATTAATACACCCTGACATTTCATCGGACGATCGATCACACAGACTCGATATTTTGTTGGCGACATCGCCGCCAGATAATCAGAAAGACAGGCCGAGCCGATTTTTTGTAATAATTTATTTATCCTCGTTAACAGTGATGGAAGAGTCCGGTCACATTCTCGAGGATTACTCATTTATGACACGTTATATGTAGGTGGACAAGTTTGGGGACCATTTTTATCTATTTGTAAATTAATTGTTGAGTAGGAACGTTATGTGCCAGTGATAATGGAGACTCTAGTTCTAATACCTCAGGAATTGAGCTTGGCGTTAAGGCCAGGGGGTGCAAGGGGCCGCGAGGCGTCCGTCAGCGTTTGGACTTCGACAGAACTGCAGCGAGGATCTCTCCTTTATCCTTTCCAGGGTACCATCAGGATTGATAAACTACACGTATATTCCTACGTACCGGACCATGATGTGAGTAACTTGTCTGAATGTATAATATGGAATATTTAATATATTCATATTTACATCATAATATTTTACAATTTTGTGTCTTCAAGTATCGCTATGTAAGCTATCAAGTATCAACTCAATCGGTTTGTTTCAGTGTGGTATTGTAGTTTTAAAGCTATTCATTTATATCAAGTATTTTTATTTATACCGTATTATATTATTGATTTTCCTTTAGACTATTTTATAATGTTCGTTGCACTGATGCCATGATTAAAAAGGTACACAACGGCTTGACAAATGACCAGATTACTATAGTCCCAACATTTATTAAATTTTAACAATTAACTATTAATAAGTTGAAGTATTTTTTCAATTTTTACAAACATAAGTACTATTATGTTGTTGTAAATATCAAAAATACAAGACTTACCAGTCTAATATTCATTTGTTTGATATTTTCTACTATAATAAAAAATAATATAATTATTATTTGCACTATCAATTAAAATTATATTTGTTAAATAAATAAGAAAATCACTCAAAACCACCAACTGACTAGTGTATTTTAATTAATGACACTTCTCACCTTCATGTTGTTGGATCCAATACTAATTAACATTTCAACATCTTTAACATTGAATTGATTTAGAAACATCTTTAACATTGAAATAAGTAAACACTATAATATATTCGTTTTTAAAACGATTGCTATTTGATTGTATTTGAATATCTAAACGACTTTTTAATGTACATCCGATCGATCTAGTATATTTTTTCTGAACGCATTTTATAAAATATATAGTTCTATAATGCAACTCATAAATTTCTCCGGAATAATAAATTTAATCTAGAAAAAAAAATCCTTAATTCGATAACGAGTTATAAGTATAATAATTTTCCGCTAAAATATTTTTTGATAGATATTTTAACGATAGGTGAGAAATAGTAAAATACTAATCTATCTTTTTTTATTGCGTTTAATCACTTAGTTACAGTACTCGTAATAGTCATATAATAAAATGCTAAAACCTATTACCACTATTTATAGGGAAAAAATTAAAAATTCTGTAGCAGTATATAATATTATATGTACAGAATTTTTGGGAATTTTTTAAATTAATTAAACTACTAAACAAATTTTATGAGATATATATTTATTATTATTATATATTATACTAGATATCACCTGTTGACGTTTTGCTACTTTGTAATTTAATAACAACTCATATTTACACAATTATGTAAAATCTTAAATCTTATATATTTAGAATTCATTAAAAGTAAAAATAAGCTATTAAGTTTTATCGTTTTAATCCTTAATATTGATATAAAGATTAAAAACAAACTAATGTATAATATGTCTTACTATAAAACCGACGTTTTCTAAGATATCCCAAAATTATTTTTTCTGTTTTCCTTAATAAGACTTTATTGTTTCACTATTTATCACATAAATAATTTTTTCTTATACTCCTGTTGAAGAAGTTCACTGCCCTTTAAATCACATTTCAATAATTATTTTTGTATTGATTAGATATTATATATAAGAAAATTTATGGCTCATTTTATTCAAACATTCAGCTCTAATATTGATATTTTTACAGCGATGTCGTTATCTAATGCAATGTAAACACATATCATTCAAAGCGTAATGTAATTAACACGTCACATCATAATAAAGTGTATTTTTGGTGAAAACGCGTTTAAGTCTTTCCTTAGGCTAATGTGGGATTAGCCTAAAGAAAGAATAGACCCAATAAAAAGGTTTAAATGTCAGAAAATTATAAAAATTGTTTTGTTTTAAAGTAAAATATTACTATATGTAGTATCTTACTAGTTTTAATTGACTCGGGGTTTAATATAGATAGACCTACGTCCTTTTTGTAAATAAAATTGTTGTGTATTCATGGACAAATTAAAAAGAGAGCATGAATATCTGCATTAGATTTTGGTTGTAAATTTCGCTGAGGTGTATGGTGGCGGTGTAAGATAATTCACACCCAATTTCGTCTTGGTAATATTGTTGTTATATATTACTAGCGATGCGCCCCGGCTTCGCACATGTGATTTCTGATTCTCGAAAACAGTGCCACCTACCGGTTCTAATTTTAAATTTAAACCACCCAGAGACCCACAATTGCGTGTTTTTCAGACACGCAATTTTTTTATTTAAAATCGGTCCTGTCGTTTAGAAAAAATTCAGTGACAAACACACATACAGAAGAATTATAATATATAAAGAGACAGTCATGACTACAATATAATTAAAGATAGAAATAGAAATAGAAAATATGTTTATATAACCAAAAAGACATTACATAATTAAACAATAAACTGGTTTCTGCACTAAGTTTTAGGCTTATATCGCAGGAACCAAGAATACTGACTGAGACCCTTAACACCAATTAATACATAGGACTCCGATTAAGTTAAAATAATGCTAATATTTTAGTATAAATTAATGCATCAAAGATAAGAAAAAAGCTAATTTAGTCTAGGAATATGTGTGTGCGTGTGTGAGTGTGTGTGTGTGTGTGTGTGTGTGTGTGTGTGTGCATGTGTGTGCGTGTGTTTGTGCACGTGCGTGTGTGAGTGAGTGTAAGTATACGCTTGCGTATGTAGGGGTCAGCTATGAAGAGAAAGTAAGTTTTCCGTTTCCTGATAAGTCCCATGGAGCAACCAGGTTGTTATTTTGTGCTTGAGTTTGCTTGTGGACAAAGACCTCTGGGAAATAATCTGAGAAGAGACAGCAGAATTTGTTGTAGATGCTAGCCAGAAAAAATGGTGAGTGGCGTTTTATAAAAGTACTGTGTGAATTGGGAATCGGTACTCCAAAGATCCGACGCTTGAACAGTCTATTATAATCCGGGGAATTTATTATTTTCTATGAGTTTGAATTACTGCTTTTAAAATGTAGATTTAGCGATCCCGTAGCACCTTACATTCCCTGTACAGTTTGTCAGTAGAAAATCTAAAGTTTTTAGATAGTCATGACATGCGAAGAATCGCAGTAACCTTTAAGTATATTTATACGCCTGATTATATACGGAGATCCACGACAGGAAATACATTCGAAGATGGGGACATATCGTATTGTGATCGTCAGTCCGTCTTCCAACTGTGGTTACTATCGTAAATTCTTCCAACAAGGAGATGGTCAGTATTCAGCAGTAGACTGCTAAGGGTAAGGATTGATGAAGACGACCGCGCAAGAAATATTTCAACGTATTCGTATGTATTATTAGTACGTCTAAATGTAATTAATACGTTTAAATAAACTGAAAAGAAAGCTAAAGATATCCTTATGTAATAGAATTCAATTTTCTATTTAGCCAAATATCATATTATTCTAATATAATAACATTTTGAATAACCGTTTATATTCTGTTTGAATTTGTACAATCTTAAGTAGATTGTAGAGCCCCTTCGATTTTTAGTATCATTTCAGTAGCTCTAAAGAACCGATACCCCACAATCATGTGGTTAAAATTATGATACAGTTTTTGTTTGATCGCGTATAAAAAGCCTCATCTCGTTGCTTACCAACTTCAAACGTGAGTAAGAGAATATTGGTTCTAACTGGACCCACTTGCGGTTTTCAATAGATTACCTATTTCGTTTTACCGACTACGGGCAAATGAGTGTATCATGTGCCAGTGATTGTTATATTATACACGAAACATGAGTAACTTTCAAAATATTACACTTTAAGCAATGAATGAATAATTATATTCATAATGTACATATAAATATTTATATTAAAATATATCACTGGGTTTCCTATTCTTAATAATATAAATTATTTGACTGTCTCGTTGTTCTACTGGTCGTAGTAGTGCGACTGCTAACCATGAGGTCCCGGGTTTGAAACCCGGGCGGGCCAAAAAAAATCAGTTATTGAGATTTTCCATCACGAAATTCTCAGTAGCTGCCCGGAATCAGGAAGCTGACAGTGTCTCACCCCCGTGCATCGGAAAGTACGTAAAGCCGTTGGTCCTACGCCTGATCTGTCTCCGGTTATTTGGGTTTACCGTCCCATTGGCCTATGAGAGTGAGGGAATAGAGAGTGCACCAATGCTTGCGCATACACTTGGACACTATAATTCTGTCCGCGCCGATAGCTAGTCTCCGTTGGGACTGGCCGCCGGGAACGAAATTCGATCTGGAGGATGTTATTGTTATTATAAATTATATATTGACGTGTTTGTTAATATAACCTATTTTTTCTTAAGATTTTGTGATTCAGACATTGGTATGATCATATTATTGGTTTTTTATAAAAAAATTCTGTGTCCAGTGAACATAGGCCTCACCCATAGGTTGCCGCAAATGCGTAATTTCCATAGTTGCCACGTTTAGCTGGCGGATTGCCACGGGCATTCTATTTTTTTGAAGTTGTTATTCATTTTAATCTGTCACTTTTTACATCAACCACGGGATGATTTAAATTAAAGGATTCCTCACGCCATCACTTAGCGGATAGTGATAACACTATAAAAACTTAAAAAAAAAACAGTGGTTGCTAACCAGACTACCAAGCGTGGCAACTATAGTAAATATCCCCTCTACAAGGTAATCTATAGGGTAGGCCTATATTTAGCTCTTCATCACTACTCATGGAAGACCCTATTAACATTATAAACAAATTGTTTCGAACAATTACACCTAGATAACTTCGGTACACCGCCTGTACATGAGACAATTTATGGGGACGGCCTATGTTAAGCAGTGGAATTTTATAGGCTGGAATTGCAATTTTTACTTTTTATTTATTATCTTTCTGGTGTTTCAATAAAGTATCACAAAAATTCCTCATATCTGAGAGGTGATAAGACGTTTACGTGGAACCATGCTGCAGCTATATTAGTTGTATAGTTGTAGCGCGAATGGGTCGGTTCGACCAGGGAAGGACCACGCTCTCACAGAATACCAGCGTAAAATAGCAGTTTAACGCTGCTGTGTTTCGTATGGTGAGTGTAAAGAACCAGATACCCTTTTTACTGGAAAAGAGGCATTCCATC